AGAGGAAGACACTCGCTTAGATAGTTGATTCAAGACCTCACTATAGTCAGTGTAATCACTTGGAAGTCAGCAGAATTTAAAAGGAGCCAAGATTCTAAAGTACGTAGACATTCATAGGTGTGATTAATATTTCCTACACAGTTATGTATTTTTCTTAAGTACCCTCTTCAAACATTATAAAAGAAAGTCAAGTACTTCTTTAGAAAATATCCTTTACAATTGCCTGCTCCTCAAATCACTCACTACCACACAAGCATATCAAGAGCTGTCTTGACAGATCTTGACAGACCAAGTCAAGCAGGAAGGCAGGTGCAAGTGTGTCAGTTACAACAGATTGATAAAATTTCAGGCATTGTAGTTTCGTTGCATTTTCAACTCCTTTTGAATTTATCATTTGAATTAACATGTATTGTTAGGTTTAACTGCCAGAACCTACAATCTTATGCTGAACTGCTGGCTTTATTTGTGAGGAGAGAAGGCAGCCCACTAAGCAGCACCAGGGATCAGCATCAGCATATTAATGATGCAATTACAACAACCCAACAAACAAGAGAGAGTAATTATCAAGATGAGACCAAGCTGAAATTGCTATGTTGCAGCCAGAACTGCTGCTGCTATAATTCATGTTCATGAAAAATTCGTTAAACTGGAAACTGCAGAGGAAAATTTGGTATGAGTCCTAAAAAACCATAACTCTTTAGGACCTCAGAAGCTGACGTGATGAGGAAGAATGTCATCAAAATATCACCTTTGTCCAATTTTGCTTTCAGTTGGGTAGGTGAAAGCAACTAGACCAGTGGTGCCAGAAGGCAGCACCAAAATGAAGAAATAAGTCCAATGACTTCTGCAAATTGCTGCTGAAATCACTGAACTCATGAATAGTAATCGCACACCTGTTCACAGGGCTTCAGTTGGTGAATTGATACCACAAGCAAACACCAGTATTAGACGTGTGCAGCAATGTTTATACACACAAAAATATTTTTCTTGAATAAAATAGAAAATGCATAATAATAATTTGTGAATGATTTTCATACTACTGCTGACAATTATAAAACAAGATATGAGGAAGATGTAAATTCTTTTTCAACAGCTTTTCACTCTCTGGAAGGTGAAGGCTAGGACAAATTGAGGCAGTCTTCCAATTGTACACTTCTTGATCGAGGAAATTTCACAACTTCATTTCTTAAAGCATAAGTACTCATAACTAGCTGTAAGTCTTGGCTTCAGAACAGCTCAGAGTAAAAAGCAAACTGAGAGTATAAAACTTTTTTCAACATCTCTAAAATACAATATTTTTAAAACTTTGGAACAAGATTCACTGTCAGTTTTGTGGGCAGTCAGATAATTACTGGCAATACATTCTTCCCTGCTTTTGAATGTACAGAAAACAGAAAAAGGGAAGGCCTTGCAACAAAGCAAGTCTCCTTTGTTACATCAAACGTCTCTTCGTTTTAAAGAACTTTCTCTCAGATATTTTTCAGAAACAAATAACTATATTTGTTTATTTTTTATTAGAATCCAGCTGCAAGCAATGAAGGCTCCAGCAGTTTTTCAGTGCTAGGAATAAAGATAATTTCTTGTGCACATAAACATCAGTACTGCAATGACATTTTAACCATTTCAGGTCTGAAATATAATCCAGTGCCTTTACTATTTATGAAGATCATTGCTACTATGTTATCATCTATGAAAAAAAATCAGTTAATGCAGAATTCCAGAAGCTTCTGTATAAACCAAAAGTAATGGACTACCAATTCTTTAAATATGTTTTGGAACAAAAAACATGTAATGTCTCATAGAAACAGAAAGTAAAATTATGCTACTGCTGATTTTCTGATGGATTTGATTAAATACTTATTCCTTGGCTTTAGACAGTGAAGTGTTGACTCTTTAATGGATTCTGTCCTGATCTCTCACAGAATTGGACATGTTTAGGCTGGAAATTTTGTAGTCAAAATACTTTATAGCTGTTTAAGAAATGGTTTAAATCCTTCATTGTAGAGGTCACCCACTTTGTATGGAAGTAATTTGTTGATGAAAAGATTATTAGCATAGTTCAGCATTGCTAACTGAACCATGCCAGGGTTGAACACAGGGCTGCCTCTTCCTACCAGAAAGATTCCTTAGTCCTGCTCAATTCTTCGTTCTCCAGGGCAAGCTTTCCCTCAGTCATTCCTCAGCTGTCTTTGCAAGGAGATGTGGTTGATGAGAAGGGCAACCTCAGGTCACCCATTGCCCTTTTGTGGGATACGGGCCAATGTAGCCAAACCATATAAAGAGAGAGCAGGTATTCATTTGAAACTTAGGAGACTGCAGCTGAATTTAATCTGATATTTATTAGGAAGCATACCATTACATGAACATTATTTTTTAGAAAACATGAAAATGAAACTGTATATAAAACAGAAGGTGGTTGTCAGAAAAATATCAAATTCCTTAGGAGAGCTTAGAAGTAATAAGTTATGTCAGTGAAAAAGGCAAAGGAAAAGAACAAGGAAAACAAAAAAAAGAGGAAAAGGAAAATTAAGAGAAAGAAAAAGAAGAAGAAGAAGAAAAAGAAGAACAGGGAAAAGAAAAAGAAAAGATAAAAATATGAGCTAATCACAAATTTTCTTGGAGGAATTTATACCTGTTTCTTTCAGTGCTCCCAAGACTTGACTGGAGCCTTTGGCAAATATCTTCTGCGTGCCTTCATAGCTCTACCATGAAAAATATAGAGACAATTCCTTTCATATATACATTGACAGGAAAACTCAGTTCTAACGGTTATAAAAATGAATCATTTTGCAGTTACCCTCCAGAAATATGTTTTGCTAGTAAATAAAGCAAAAAGACTCATCTCAAAGATAGGTCTGTTAATTTTAAGACATCACATTACATGAGGCAAACACACAGAGTAGGGAAGTAGTCTGGAATCTGTCCATGTAATACACTCTAATTATAACTTGTGTGTCATCTTTCCAATAGACCGTGTGTTTACAAGAAACTGTCACTGACTTTTGATGTATGTGAGGGCAATTGGGTTGAACAGTGGTTTTAACCTATGGGAACTATGAGAGTCCTATTTCTATTTATGTTTTTACTTCTCAGTATGGTGCATACCGTCATTTGCTGTAGAGCTGTAACATGGGTGAGTAGTCTAGTTTTCCTTGGTGGTCAGCAGAGAGAGTTGACCTCTGGAGGCCATTTTAGAGCACTTAAATTCATCATTGTTGTTGACTTATGGAGCTTAGATTCCTGAGTGAAGACATATAAGTTGGGTCATTTCTGGGCATTAAAAAATGCTGCATCATTAAAATTTCAATAGTGTATATTGATCTTATAAGTAAGTGCAGATCTTGGTCAGAATTTGCCTTTAATCTTTTTCTGTCAAGGTAAGGAAGTCAGCAAGAGCTTTTAAGCAGCTTTACCTGGTCATCTTATTTTTAATTACTGATGCTTATAAAATAAATAGAATTAGCAGCAGAACGTAGCCTTGTACATGTGAGTGTACTTTGAAAGAAGACCTCTATTCAAACAAATTACTGGGAAACACTTTTCAACATGTGTCTTGAAAGTGCTTGTTCTTCTAACCCGTTTTACCTGTTAGATTGACTCATATGAGTAATGAGGTGATATATAAAGAAAAATAACCTTTGCTGCTGATTTGTGCCCATTTTGCAAATCCAAAGAATGCTTACCATGGCTCTGTATTTAAATTCTTTGAGAAGTAAAGTCAACATTGTGGGAGAATTTGGAAGAATCATATGAAAGAGAACCTTGCAAATAACAGACCGGGTGCTGGAACTGATCAAATTTTGAGTCCCAAGTCTCAGATATTTAAAACTAAATTTATAAAAATCCAGAATTGCTTTACATAGTTAATAGGAAAATTACATAGGCTATGTCTAGCCTTGTGAGCAGTTGCCAAGTAAGATAAGCACTCAGTGAACTTTTCACTCAGGGATTGAATTCTGAATAGGAATCTTGGCGAATCAGCTAGACCTGTGTGGTTGTTGGTTACTCAGTTTTATTTTTTAAAGTTTTATTGCATGAATTTGATTTTATGCTGTCTAGCAACATATTAACAGCTTTTTGTCTTTGTTCCTAATATGATCTGAAATATTTCCATTTCCTGGATTGAAAAATAAGGGCATACATGTGTGCCCACACTCACAAATATGCAGAAACAGCTCTCCACCCCCAAAACACTAGTAAGGAAAATAGCCGTATGAAACCAGAAATGTCAAAATTTAGGTAGAGTATCACACAACTGATTTAACACATGATATTTAAGGGTTCTCTAAAATTAAAAGTGTGGGGTTTTGTTTGTTCTAACCACCATTCTTTGAGAACCATGGACTAATGATGAAATTCCTGCTGCTCCATGCTACTGACAGGACTGTACCTTATCTCTCTACAGTGATTGCTTGCAATACGCTGACCTAGAAAGTCCTTCCTGGACCTGAATTTCTTTATGTAGCTGACAAAGATATTAATTTGGATAATTTTCAATTCTGTTCAGTATTTTTAAGCATCTTTACAGCATTTGTGTGATTCATGTGAAGGAAAGAGGGAAAATGCTGGGCATTTTTTAATAAGCAAGCCCACAGCTGCAGCTGATTATTAATTTTTAGAGAAGAACTAAGATTATTTCAAGCCATTATGAGTTCTAAGTAAATAATATTGTGGTTTAACCCCAGCCAGCAACTAAGTACTCCCCGGTCCCTGATGGGAAGGAGAATTGGGAAAAAAAAGTAAACCTCATGGGATAAGAATTGTCTAATGACTGAAACAAAATAAAATACTACTAATTACAACAATAACAATTATAATATTATTTTTAATTAAAAGGAGAGAGAGAGTAATAAAACCCAAGCGAAACAAATATGCACAGTTCAATTGCTCACCACCCACTGACCAATGCCCAGCCCATTCCTGAGCAACAATTAGCAGGTCCTGGCCAACTTTCCTTTAGTTTATTGACTAAAAACGACATTCTATGGTTCTTTGGTCAGATCTGGTCAGGAGTCCTGGCTGTGCTTCCCCCCAGCTGCTTGTGCACCTGCTTGCTGACAGAGCATGGGAAACTTTGAAAAATCCTTGACTTAGGGTAAGCACCACTTAGCAACAACCAAAACATAAGTGTGTTATCAACATTATTATCCTACTAAACCAAAACACAGGACTGTACTACTGACGAAGAAGAAAAGTAACTATATCCCAGATAACACCAAGACAAGCGTCTGGGTTATTACTACATTTTATGTAATTCATAGAGTTCAATATGAAAGGCCCTTTTGTGATCATATGACTTCCAATAGCTTTTTAATAAAAGTGAATCTAGCAATGCAAGAAGTTAAACATCATTATTTCACACTGAGATGTATTTCTTTAGCACAGACTCTTAAGCAAATTTCATGGATGATTAATAAAAGGACTCACTCAGTTGTTGCTCAAATATGTTGTTCTTATGAATTCCCTTGTAAATACCACTTCAAATCTCTAAGATTACTATTGTGAAACTTTATTTATTATGAAAGACTGGAATGGGTTAACTATCTGTTATTGTTATTTACAAAAATAGTACATGTGTGCCATCAACTGAATAAGGAAGTTACAAGTTATTTGTGCGAATGCTTCTCTATTTTTCAAATGTTATTTCACTATTTGTCATTACTCTGAGTAAAGGAGACACCAGGGCAGATCCATTGCCAAGTGTAACACTCATTACCCTGAGCAAACCCATTCAGAGAGGATACTCAGGCTACTGAAATGTCAGCTGTAAACAACTGCTGCTTAAGAGACTACTTTAATACTTGTTCACAAGTACATCAACAAAACCTATTGCAGTTATTCTACTTAGTATAAAACATCCCCACATTTACTGTAAAGCACCTAACTTTGGCCCAAATTCAACAAATTATTTAACCTTTAATTACTTCTCTAAAAAGATGATTTTCATCCTGCCTTCAGGCAAGAGCTGCATTTTTGCTGTGTTATGGGATCAAGTAGCACTGCACGAGGTGAGCAGGTTGGTCAAATCAAACAGTTAATGCTGGGGACCCAAACTCCTCAACACACACATTTCCAGCAGTTTTACCCTAACCCCACCTAGTCTGGCTGAGGCAATAGATATATACCAGCTGCTGCAGCACATGATGTATGCTCTGAAAAATATCATATCCCTAGCTCGGCTTCAGCTGTAAGGCAGTCCTGAGGCTCAGTGGGGAGAACTGAAGTACAGGAACAAGTGTCAGCTGGGGTTTTGTTTCAAAAACACTCTTGAGCAAAATTAATATGCTAACGTAGATATAGCATTAGTGAACTCCTGAGTTTCCTTGCATTCAGTCTTACTTTATGTGTTTCCTATGTCCTTCACTTCTGTCCTTAATAAGAATTTTGACAAGATTTACTGGGAGTAAATCTCCAGAGCCTAATTTATGCAGGCTTAAATCTGTGACTGCACTGGTAATGTTAGGGCAAATAGCCTTATCCAAAGCTATTCGGATACTACATTCCACTAATACAGGGATTGTTCTTTGCCCATAATTCTTTATCCAGTTTCTTATTCCATTTAAACTCATTGTTTTGCCCATCCAGCAGATTAGTTCTTCATGATCGTTCAAGGAAGTATAAGCCATTAAAATAAATACAAACCCTGGCCTATTTGCAGGGATTTTAACAATTTTGTATAGATCTGTACCTCTAATTTCACTCAAGTTAATGACTTCAGGGTCTGGTGGAGTTGAAACTTATTCTTTCTTGGTGTGTGTGAGAAAAATTTATAATTTGATTCTAGACGTCCAATTTGAATATAGACATCTCAGAGGAAAATACTGTTTTATAGTATGGCCAGCATGGACAGAATCAAAAACGTAATACTTAAAAAAATACATTTTAAAGCAGAAGAAGCCATTCAATGATCATCTGTCTCTGAATTTCATGTGAAAAAACAACAGACCTTCCCCCACCTCAGTTAATGACTTAATTGATTAATCAAGCAATGTCATTTTATCCTTCAACTATTCCTATATTGACCTGAACCTGACAAAGTTCAGTGTCATTTAGCTTAGCTTTATTCAGAAATTGAATCAAGTTCTTAAATGAAAATGCACAGAATCAGCAGATGGCCAAAGTAAAATACATTAACTTTGGGAGATTTCTTAGACTATTAATGTTAAATCTAATAAATTTTGCAAGTAAAAATTTTTAAAACTCTTCTTTGCATAGTTTTTTATAAGAATTTATGTTTCTAACATAAATTTTATTGACCATTTTGGCATTTAGTTCAGTAGGTTGGCATTGCTCTGAGAGTAGAATCTGACTCATTACCTAAAACTATTTGAGATACTGTCAAATTTTGCAATAACTGAAGTATGATGGTAATTTTCACTTGCATTTTTTTGCATTTTGTGTATAGTCTTGATGAGATACACAATGTTAAGGGGAAATGAAAGCAAAAGGATGCTACCCTTGAAACAACAGATGTCTAATGAACTAAACCATGGACCAGCGCTAGTCCTGAGGCCTACTGAGACATACACAGCCGACTGGCAAAGTCCAGTTTAGATCTTTATGAACCAGTATTATATCTCAGCCAGTCACTGATGTGGAAGTAGGTGGGTTCTTCAAATGGAAAGGATCTCGTTCTGAAAGAGCGTGGATTTGATCCTGAGCATGATGGTTTAAGCAGCATGAAGAATCCAAAGCATGGATGCCACTATGATTGCTGTTATGCCTCTCAACTCGGCCTCTCATGCCTCCACTGTTGCAGCTCACATTCTGATTTCATCTGCTGCTGCTGCTACAGATCTTATTCCTGCCTGTTCATACATCCCTGCATTACACAAAATAATAAATATCAGTAAAGTGTTTAATATCATTATAGGATAAATAATTTTAAGCAATTTCCTTTGTCTCTTTAGATTTTTTGCTGCTTTTGTCAGATTTAATGTTGCCTTTGAAACTGTAACCATTGATGCTTCTTTTCCAACATAAACATAATCTCTTTTGAGTAATAAGTGATTAGAAAAACATTATCCCAGAGAAGCAGCGTAGCAATGTTAGTTATACTAGTGAAGAAAATCCCTGGAGAAACAGGTATTTACAGAAATACTACCCTAAAATTAGAATTTTCTCAGGAAATGACATCTCATTACACTATGTGTTTCTTGATCAGCATATCATTAGTTTGGGCATAAAGACAGCAGCTCAAGTATTAAAATCAGTCACTACAAATCTATCAGCTTTACTGGTTCTACAAAACATCATGCCTGTCTTGTATCATCTAGGTTTATTTGCAGAAAATATGGAATACATGATAAACCAAATTTGGCATTTAATTCTTTTTTCCAAGCAACTTGATGGTAAATTTTTCCTTTGAATTCAATACTGCAAAATCAAGTTACTTTTCTTTTTTGCAATAGCAATGGCTTATTTATGCAAGCAATATTTCCTGTGAGGACCTTACAAAAAGGTTCAAGATAATTAATAAACTGGAGGTTACTCCATTAAGTGAAGTTTTGCCCTTTTTCCCTGAAAATTACTTTTGGGGTGCTATTTCTTTCCTTACAAGTCTATTTGCTATTGTTTGTATGGTCCTTGAGTTAAAATTTAACAGAAGTTTATTTTATTGCCATATCATGTTCATGTTAGATCTTACTGAAATTTCACAAGACACCCTTATTAAAAGGATTTGCATTGAACTAAATTTCTAAATCAACCCTAAAGTTTCCCTAGGCAGAAAGATTTTCAGGCAGTGGGTGCACAGCCATCATCATTGAGTTGTTCCCCAGTCTCTTCCAGTTATAATCACATTTCTGTGCTCTGCTTTTTCCTATTTTTTTTCTTTACTTTCTTTTTTTTAATTTTTTTTCTCTCTGACAGGTCATAATGTCATATGCAATGCAGACAACTAATGCTCACTGCTGTAAGAATTGAACTCAGCCCAATCTTCATCTGTCAAGTGGGATGTAATGCTCTTGCTTTTCCAATCATAACAGGTAGCAAGTGCTCTTTTATGAATCTTCCCAAGCAGGTAAGAACTCCAGTTCCAATGGTTTAACTGTCATTAGCAATAAAAGTGTACTGATTGAAAGGAAATTTTTTTTAAGGCAGTGGTAGCATCCTATTATAGTAAATTGTTAGGAAGGAAAGGAAAAAGAGAATTAAAACTTGATCTTAAGAACTGCTTATCTGGCTTTAGACCTGGGAATGTTTTAATAAAATGTCTTTCAAGGTTTTGTTGGTACTACCATTTAAGCACATGATTAGCTATTCTACTAGTTCTAAAGAAATCAGTAAGATATCCTATGATCCTCCTATCTATAGGAGCCATATAGGTAGCTACAGATATTTTCAGCATTGCTATCTGAGTAGCAATTGAATTTTTGCATTTCCTTTGAACATATGAAGTAATTAGGTATTGTTTGATCATGGGCACTTGACAATGTGTTAGGAATATTAACAGTAATTTAAAGTTGAAGGGTTTTTTCTGGTTTAGGACAAATAAAACCTACAAGATTTTTTAGAGTTTCTGATAAAAGTCAATTGTTTAGGAAGATCAAACAGCTACATGTCTGAATTGGAGCAGAGAGTTTCTATTCTTGCCATTAATTGACTCGCTTTCAGTTTGAGGGCATAAATGAGAAAACTTGGTTGTTTTTAGAGAAATGGCAACCCACAAGCATGAATGAAGGTTTGCTTCACCCGTTGCCATCAGGTCCAGAAAGGAAAACTATACTGTGACTGTTTTCTGCATTAGGTAGTCGTATGTCTCTGGCCAGCAATGTACTTGAGCAACTGAAAAACTTCCTGGGAATTTATTAATGGCAAGTGAGGGGAAAAAAGTAAGTGATTACTTCTTCAGTATTGCATTAAAAATGGCCATGGAAAGAACTGAGTTTACAGCTCTCAGGCAGTCTTCCAGCTGTAAGCCTTTCCCAGAGGTAGCTGGTTTCTCTTTTTGCTTTACAAATATTCCTAATCAAAGCTGAAAAATCAATCTAGTCTGCCGTGTTTAAGAATACAATGCAATGTATGATAGGGGATAGTGCTAATGTATAACAAATAGGCTGCCTTTTTCTCTTCTGTCCATTACGAAAGTCTAGTCAGAAGCAGCAACTGCAAACAAAGGGAATTGCTGCCATTTCCTCCTTTTTTTTAGTGAAAGTGCAGAAACTGCAAACACAGAGAAATGCTCAGTCCCTTCTGCTCCCATGACAATCTGCCATCCTTCACAACTGAGTATAGTCACACTGTGAAACAACTGGTTAATCAGAGAGGCTGTGCCATAACACTGAGAGCAGGAGGATTAGCAAACAGAAGCTGGGTTTCTGCCTGCGATTTTCAAGGCTAGTTTCAGCACATTACTCTTTATTCAATACCTACTATCACCCAGAGAGATTGCCAGAGACATTATCACACAGGTAACACTGTATATCGTACCTTTACAGTACATTTCAGAGGATGAGGTATAAAAATTCAATCAAATATTGGGAACTGAGCACACGGTATGACAAAAAAGCCAAAAAGTACAATTCATCTGATAAATTGCAATCATATTTCCCATATCATGCGATCATGGTGAGTTTTATGGAGTCCAGCTATTAAGTAACAGTCAAAAGTCAGACACATCCACTCATGAAACATTGGATGCTCTTGTGGGGTATTTTCACTGAATTAGCTACAACTACAATTAAAGTAGTACTTGACCTGATGTTAAATTAGATTATATTCAAATTCTTAAAGGAATTATCTCAAATACCAATTTTATTCCATGAGCTACTATGCAATTAAAAGATTTAATATGACATGTAGACTGCAATCCTAAATGATTGAAACAAGAAAACCAAAAATATTTTGGTACAATTTCCACAATTAATGATAATAAAGTAAGAAAGTTAAAGAAGTCTCATTTGACTTACAAGTATTTGAAGTTGATGAAGTAGAAAAACTTGATTCACTTTATACTGCATAAAAATACAGAAAAGTTTAGCATTAATTTTATGAAGCAGTGTTAAAACTGAACTTGCTGGAAAGTGAACCCCTGCCCTTACACAGAAGAATCTGGATATGCTGCCAGTGACATTGCTGAATTCTTTAGACCATCACCTTAAGCAATCATCTCTTAAAAGGAACATTCATTCCAATTATAATCCCATATTTTATTTATGACTATGAGAAAAATATAGTGGTTCACTGACATTTACACTTAGAAATGTGTATCTTTTAAAACACATTCAGATCCTAACTTTTTTGAAAAGATGTCCACATGCACTGATGAAAACTTAAGACTTCAGATTCCAAATTTAGTATAGGTGTTTGGTTTAAGTGCTTCCAAAAGTCAAATTATTTTTCTCTTTGTTCTGATGAACATTTCACTATTAGAAGTCATTTAAAATTGATTACCTGAACCTTATTTTGAATGCATGTGACCCCAGCAATATAAAGCAGTTCCTGCTTCCCATTACAGCTAAAGAAGTCAATAAGCTAAAATAGTAGGCTTCCAGTAATTAACTGCTTCTATTAATTTATTTTCAGTAGTTCACAAGGCATACTGTAAAACCAAATGTCATCTTGTTTTGTTTTAGCTAAGAACTTGGGACACTTTTATTTATATATTCCGGTATGTATTTGCATTTTTTGTAATAACATCATGTTGTTCAGATATTGTCCAGCCTAAAATCCACTACGATTCTGAAATATTATTCTGCAGCACCTCTTCCTCGCCTGTTGTTCCTTACCTGGACATCTGTAGATGCTATCCTGGCACAAAGGAAGTGGTGTTGGTGCTCAGTTTAGTTTTTCTCAGATCCTTTTTATTTCTAAGCTTCTTTTTGAATGTGTTTACAATAGTTGTGTTTGCAAATCTATTGAGTGTAGTCTTTCTTCTACAATTCAGGTAACTGCTGAAATTAATGAAAAGGACATGGCTGAACTAAAACCTTTTGCAGTTATCCCATCCAATACATTAGTTGGTTTTGACATTGAACCATTGTTAACCTGGAAAACTATATTCAGAAAGAACTTTCACCTATGTATGTTGTAATTTCATTTATGCAGCTATGCTACCTTGGTTTTTCCAGTTACCACAGCGATATCAAAGGGTTATAACCAGTACTGAAAGAAGAAAACACATCTTCAAATCTAATGCCTTTACTTTGTTTAGTTTGTTGAATTAAAGACAGCCTGTAGGAGATGTTAGGGCAATTTATCAGTTTTTAAAAGGAAGCACTTCAGCTACTGTGTACACAAAGCACCAATATCTACTTAATTAATAATCTATAGATGTGATTTAAAGAAATACAGATGCATCACTTAGTCTTTATTGCCCTCTTGCAGGATTTCAGTCAGGAAACTGTTCAGCCATACATATTTCATTACTGAAAAAAAAAAGGAAAATCAGCTTGTGTAAAAGCTCCTAGCATAGGAACAAAAGGATAAGATTAGTTTTTCTTTGTCCATTTTTTTTTTCAAACGCTATTTTTGCTTTGTCACTTTTCTACATCGTCTATTCAGCCTCACAGGCTCCCTCTGGTGGTTAGCGAGCAAAAGCATCGCCTCGCTTAGGGCCGCATACAAAATCGCGAATCAAAGGCTGATTCATTAGCATTTCTCGCTTTAATAATAATTAAGAAACTATACATTTATTAAAGTATTAGGCCATGTGTAGCCTACTTACTATATCATAAAATGCTTTCTGAGCTAAAATTATTTGAAAAATCTATAATGATTCCCTTTTTTTTCCTCAAATTCTTTTGCGGTTTGGAAAGTGAGAAACAGAGGATACAACTAACCAGTAAGTTAGTATCGCAAAATATCCGTGCTAATGATCCAAATAGAACACCTAATTTATAATTTCAGGTAAATGACTTTTAATACCTGTGTTTACTTTGGCAAAATTCTCCCATAATCGGAATGTGTCCTACTCTCTCCTAGCTGACAGTCTTTTTTACTACCCCAGGTGTGGATGTGGATTTTCTCTTGATCCCTGAGATATTGTAAACTAGCGTGGCAGAACTTCTGGATCAAATCTCAGTAGATACAGCCCTCTTTTGAGCAGATATCCAGCCAATTTTTACTTTACTTTATATTTTAAAGATTTTTAAAAATATTTCCATAATCGATATAAAGAAAAGTCTCCTCTAAACACACAAGAAAAAGAAGCTATTTTTTTAATTAGAGAATCAGTATTAATGATTTTATATGGCAATTCTTTTTATTAAAATAGAAATATTTGAAATATAAAGACACAAAAAAATTTGCAGAAGGCAACTCCAGATCATAGGTCATATGCTTGGCAAGTCTATTTTACCTGTGCAGATGAACACAATTAAGACTAAACTGAGGTCAAGCTTCTAGCAATTATCACCTTTTCAGAACTTCTTGTGGTTTAAATACCTGTAATTCATTTCCAAGAAACAGCTAAGTATAGTGATAACGAAAAACAGATATTGAGTCATAAATACATGTTTTTATGATCATTCTGACTGATAAATACGTATATTATGAATGTAATAATGTTGAAACTTGTTGTACTGCTTGTGTTTATGCTTCTTATATTGTATACAGAATATCAGAAAGAATTAGATCTTAGCCAGAAATGTGCAAAAAAGTAAAAAAATTTCCACTCTCGCTGGATATGAGCATGGTTAGGGCACAGGAAAATGTTCAAGACTATTCTCTCCTATCTACTCTGCAAATCTCATATCTTTCAAGACTTTTATTCATTGTAAATGGTTTATCCATATGCCTAAGAAACGCTTTATTCAACTCATTAAGAAAAAACCTCTAGAGCACCTCATAATCAATCATGTGCCTGGCTGTGTAGATAAAATCTTTTTATTAAACTATATTTATGCATAAGATAGATAGAGCAGTAACTAGATTAATTGACACATTCGCCTATGTATACTTGGTACCTACTTTGTGGCATCTGCTATATGTAAAGACTGGGAAGCACAGTACCTCCTGATGAGTGTTCGGTTATAGGAAATGCCAACATACCTTAGTAGATCAAATACTTAGAACACGATGTTTTCTAGACTCAAACATGGATGTAATTTTTGGAAAAACATTCTTGAGGCTATAATTGGTCTTGAAGTGTGTCTGCTGGTGATAGAGGATTAAAAAAGTAGGTGTTATTGATATGAACAAACTCTCCATAGATTGTAACTCCAGGGAGTTCTTGAAGTATGCACATTCGTTTTCAGCCCTCTTCACACATTTTACAGTAGTTTGTCTTCAACACTAAGAAGCTACCCACTTTTCAATGTATCCAGAAAAAATGGTCTCAGGTAAATT